ATAAGAGGGATTTGAATCAGAGTGTGATTGAATAGTTGCATTTTCTCTGAGTTATTTCATTTTTTTAGACTTCTGAAACCAAAGAGATTTGCAAACTGCCTTTAGAAGAGAGAAAGGGAAGTAGTCTAAAATTAAACATTGTTTAGGCACTGGAAGGAGCCCTGGTGGTGCAGTGATTAGGCACTCAGCTGCTGATGGGAAGGTCAGAAGTTGAACCTGCCAGCAGCTTCAAGGGAGAAAGAAGTGGCAGTCTGCTTTCATAAAGATTAAGCCTTGGACACCTTGTGCAGCAATTGCACTCTGTCCTATAGGGTCACTATGAGTTGGAATTGACTCGATGACAATGGGTTTAGGCACTGGAGGAAGGAGACTCCATTATGCTGATGTGACAACAAGGACCAAATATATAACTTGACAGGCACGTACATTTCTGTATAATAATATTAATAATAAAATTTCTACTTTTGATAGAGAAGGCTTCCTTAGAATGTGGGAAGCCCTCTACCAAGGAAAATGGATTAGTGTGAGAGTTAAAGGTTTCTAGAGTAGCCCTACTTCCTGACAAGAAGGTTCATGACACCTACCATTCTCCCATTGCTTGAATAAATCTGGTAATGATAATCTCTTTATCTTGTTAGGGATTTTTAACTGCATGAATAGGTTCAATATTACTTGAAATCCAAATCTACATTTTGTAACTTTTCTTAGTCATCATCTACATGCCTTTAGGGTATACAGAATGACAAAAGAGGCAATTATTTGCTTCTATTCCATATATTCTGTGGTTCTGTGCTAATGAATGAATCGTAACTCACAGCCACTCTATATGACAGAGCAGAACTGTCCCATGGTGTTTCCTAGGCTGTAATCTTTATGGAATCAGACTGCCAATCTTTCCCCTGCAAATTGGCTGGTGGGTTAGAGCCATCAATCTTTCAGTTAGCACCTGAGCACTTCATCACTGCACCACTAAGTTTCCCCATGGACTCTAGCCAATTACAGATATCTCCAATTTTATTTCAAAAACAATCTTTAAGATTTCACACATGTTGAAATTGCGTTTGCCTTCCTCCAGATGCAATTTTATTTTTTAAAGTGCACACTAACTTATTAAGGCATTTATGTACAAACAGAAGGATCAAAAATATTGATTCACATTTACGTATCCATTTAGTCATTCATTTATTTATTCCATATATTTTAATTCTGTCAGTAACTATTTCAAGTGCAAGAAACGCGGTAGTGAACAAAATGAACAAATATCAGTGTGCATATAGATTTGACATTCAAGTAAAGAATAACAGACTGTATTAATTGCTGTGGAGTAAATAAAAATTGGGAAGTTAGATGTGTAATGCAAGTATCGACAAGAATGGCGTGCATTTTAAAATTGGGAGATAAAGAAAGATTTCACTTTTGTGTTGACACTGAGTGGAGACTTGAAACCATTGAAAGTATGCATCATGGTAGCATCTGGGGAAGAACTTAGCTGATATTGAAACTGGCAGGTGCAAAGGCTCTGAGTTGCGCTTATGAATGTTGAGTTTGTAAAACCTCCAGTGGGGATGGAGAGACAGAGAGAATCCGAGTCTGAGTAGTGGAAGACATGATCTGAGATTTCAAAGGGTCCTAATCATGTAGGGTTTTGTAAACAATTGTAAGGACATTGGCATTTGCTCTGAGATGAGAGGACACTGGAGGTTTTGAGGAATGGTCAGACATGATTTTAATTACATTTATTTTATAAGCAAAATAATAACAGTAAAAACTTATTAAAATTAATTGTGATAGTATTATATATTTTTCTTACCAGTCAGGTTCCAGGCTGTGCTGAAAATTTCCATGGTTTACTCTAGCTGGTGGTAAAAATATTTTATAGTTGAGTAATTTGAAGTTTAGAGTTGCTGCATTCACAGAGCAAGTTAACTGGCCATCAATCTGCTTCATTCCACCCGAACTAACCAAACTGTCATCAAGTTGATTCCGACTCATAGCAACCCCCATTGTGTTTTCAAGGCTGTAAACTTTGGTGAAAGCAGGCTGGCCTTCTTTCTTCTGTGGAGTGACAGGCAGGTTTGAACCACTGACCTTTTGCTTAGCAGCCAAATGCCTTAACCAGTACACCACCAGAGCACCTTGTTTCATTCCAGGATCTCTATTTTAATTCCTGATTCCTGACGAAAAGAATGCTGCTTGCTCAAAAGTTCTGTCTCTGGAATTATAGCATTTCTCTTTCCCTTGAGCTAACATTATTTCAGCACAGATTTGATGAAGTTTTCCCCTTTGACAACTATGGAAAAGAGGGAGATATTTTCTTAGGAGTTTGTTAGAGAAGGAAAGAGTGTACGTTGTGTTCCTATGTCTTTTCTGTCATCTCTTTTTCTGGCCCTGATTCCTCTTCTTTCCTCTGGGCAGAGAGAATGATGGCTTCAGGAGCAGCACATGTCTTAGAAGACTAAGAGGCTGGCCTGCCCAAAACATCACATAACTCTGTGCTCTGAAGAACCTCATGCAGTTGTTCCATTTGGTTAATGCATCATCAGAAAGAGCACCTAACAGAGAGGTAGAGAAAAGAAAGAAAGTGATCATTAGAAACCATAAAAATAAGATTACTAAGACTGGTTATGGAATAGAGGCAATGCTATTTTCAGAGGCTAAATAAACTGCAGTCATGATCATAGTCAAATTAAAATGAATTGATTTAGTCCAAGATGTTCTACAAAACAATAATGAAGAAATAATGGAGAGGAGAAGGGAAATTGTATCAACAAAGCTCTTATTGAACAATCTACTCCTCACTTATCCACTATCTTGTTATCTGACATATGGCATTCATACAACAGTAAAAATCTACTATCCAACTATTTGCTCATGAATCATGTACATTTTGTAGTAATGAATGTCAAGGTGTGAGGCAAGAGTAACACTTGCTGTTATACTTAAGGTTATGTATCAACTTGGCTGGACCATGATTCTCACCAGTTTAGCAGCTATGTAATAAGAAATTTGGCAGTTGCGTAATGATATAATTTGACAATTATGCAAGGATGAAATTTGAAGTGATGTAATTTTGTAATTTTGCAGTTATGTAATGATGTAATCATCCTCCATTTTGTGATCTGATGTGATGAACTTCTATTTTCATATAACATCAATTTTCCCATAATAACCTCATCTTTGGATCCTAACCATGTCAATAAGTGAGGAATGGGTACAGTTAAAAAATGGAAAAATATTAGAACTGATGATTTTTAAAACCAAGTTTGGCCACAGTTACACAAGTTGTTGTGTTTTTTGTCCTTTGTGGTTTTTTTTTTTTTAACATATGTACAAAATGAAAAAAAAACTCAAACCCACTGTCAAGTTGATTCCAACTCATAGAGATCCTATAGACAGATTTTACAGTACAAAACCTAGCCAGGCCAAGATTTTGCTACTATGCTTTCATTCTGTTAGATCCCTGTATAGCACACACAATTTGTACTCATCTACTAACCTAAAGCTTGAGAATTGTTAACACACCCAGCAGTGCCACAGAAGAAAGACATGGCAATCTGCTAACATAAAGATTACAGCCAAGAAAATACTGAGGAGTAGTTCTGTTCTGTAACACATGCAGTAACCATGACTTGCAATTGGCTCAAAGGTAATGTTTTCTTTTGTTGTTTTTTTTTTTATTTTTTTGATTCAGTAATAGGATTGGCGTAGTTCCTAAGGTGTGTGACTGCTAACCAGAAGGCTGGTGGTTCAAACCCACCAGCCACACCTCAGAAAGAATGTTGGGCAATCTACTTCTGTAGTGATACCACCTCAGAAACCCATGGAAAGGTCACTCTAACTAGGATCCGACTCCATGGCAGTGGGTTTGGTTTGGTTTGGTTTTAATAGGATCAGGATCACTCAGCAGAAGCAAATAGGTAAAAAGAAGTGAAATTTTTCTTAAATCCATTATTTATGTTGTGCAAAATACTTGTTCATTTTTTTGTCTCCAGTTGAAAATAACAATGGTGTTCTCTTCTTCTGTAGAATGGCTCTATTGGTGCAGAGAGTAACATGTCCCCCAGTTGATCATCATGTATGGAGCTAACAGCTCGAGTCCGACACCAAGATATTTTATCCTCAGTGGGATTCCTGGGCTGGAAGCTGCACACATCTGGATCTCTCTGCCTTTCTGTTTCATGTACATTATTGCTATGGTGGGGAACTGTGGGCTCATCTACCTGATCAGCCATGAGGAGGTCCTGCATAGGCCCATGTATTACTTTCTAGCCCTATTATCCTTTACAGATGTTAGTGGGTGTACTTCATTTGTTCCCAATATGTTATGCATCTTTTGGTTCAGTCTCAAGGAGATTGACTTTAATGCCTGCCTTGTGCAGATGTTTTTCATACACATGCTGACAGGCATGGAGTCTGGGGTACTCATGCTCATGGCTCTAGACCGCTACGTGGCCATTTGCTACCCTTTACGATATTCCTCCATTCTCACCAACACCACAATTACCAAGATAGGGCTTGCTACTTTTATGCGAAGTGTGCTACTCATGATTCCATTCAGTTTCCTGATCAAGCGCCTTCCCTATTGCAGAGGAAACCTTATCCACCACACCTATTGTGACCATATGTCTGTGGCCAAATTATCCTGTGGCAATGTCAAGATTAATGCTATCTATGGTCTTATAGCTGCCATACTGATTGGGGGATTTGACATGTTCTGTATCTCTGTGTCTTACACCATGATCATCCGTGCTGTACTGAATCTGTCATCTACAGATGCTCGCCACAAGGCCTTCAGCACCTGTACATCACACTTATGTGCTATTGTCATCACTTATGTACCAGCTTTCTTTAACTTCTTCACTCACCGTTTTGGGGAACTCACTATACCTCACCACATTCACATCTTTATTGCCAACCTCTATCTCTTGCTGCCTCCTACATTGAATCCAATTGTCTATGGAGTAAAGACCAAGCAGATACGTGAAGGAGTAATCAAATTGTTCTTTAGAGAGAAAGAAATTTCAACTATGAAATAAATATGTGATATTGAAATCTGCATTTAGCATAAAGATAAAGAAAGGAAAACGTTACAGGGGAAGAGAGGAATTGCAAAATTTAACAAAAGTAAGCTCATTACAAGATAAAATATCTGTTCATTTTCTGTCATAAAATACATTGAACAATTTCAGGATTTTTAATCCCAGACCTCTAATTTGGTAGAAGAAAAAATGAAATAGAGAGGAAACGAGTGGACTTTTCACACATACATTAACCTTTAGTGAGAATTTGTGGACAGGACACAAAGGATGGAACAGGTAGGATACCCAACTTCAAGTAAAACTCTTGGTGATCAATGCACTTTGGTCTAGGCAACACAGGAAATACATCGGAAAGAATAAAGAATGTCAGATGCCCTAGAAAGTCTCCAAGAGATAGGAGAAGGGACATAAGTAGACTGTTTCATGTACTTCTGAGAAGCACAAATCTCTTCACAAGAGTGTCTGTGCTGAATACCACCACTCCTATTATCCTTCCTATTTCTTATTTATGTCTAGCTTGGATAAATTTACCAACAAAATTCCTCTTGTATGCACATTTATCTCTGATATCCCACCGACTAGACAATTATTTATACTCATAGGACTGATACCAGTGTGTACAAGAATGGAACTGGAGAAGGTATGGTTGCTGGAGTTCATCACAATGTGGAAAGTGTTTCTTGGAATTAATGTTGAGCAAACTTTTCAAAAAGACTGAGAACTATTTACCAGCTCTTTGAGAGCAGTATTTATAAACAGGGGAAAGGAGACTGAAGAAAATCTATATAATTTGTTAAGCAAAGATGTTTTAGCTTCACTGCTTTACCTAGAGGGACCGTTGAGTGATCAGTGACAGTGGAGAAAAAAGTATCTTATTTGAATTTTGGGAAGTAGTCAGGAAATAAGAAATGAGGCTAGAATGACAAGTATGGTATTCAGAAATACTAAGATTGAGTGAAAAAGGAGAAAGAAAAGGAGCATAGCCATTGAAATAATTAGAGTAATAAATAGAATGTGATTGGGAAATGGATAAAAATGTGCAGGTAGAGAGAGTAATTAAACTGATCAAAATTAAATTTCCATTATCGGTTAATATGAAGCATATATTTTAATATTTTGCATATGATAAACAGCAACATATGAAGAAATGACCATGGAATACATTAATCTAATCACATATTTTTACAATATAATTTTCACATATTTGAAAGTAAAACCTGACATCTAAAAAAATAAATTATGAAAGTGTAAATTGTAAGATTTTGACTAGCTTGTCATTAATAAATGTGTTATATCTTCGAATTACGTCTTTGGATTTGGAAAATTTTGTTCATCAGGATATTTTCATTGAAACCATACCAAAACAGATCAAGAAATCACTTTTCCTAAAATGTCATCTCTTAGACATACAGAATTTTTCAAGAACTATAATAATGTTTCATACATATTATTTCTTTGAACTTTCACACCAAAATTATTGGATAAGTTTAATTAGTTCCACTGTATAGATTAGGAATATGAGCTATATGAATAACAAGACTAGATAAATTTCAGAACATTAAGACTGAATATTAATAAAAAATCATGTTATTAGGTCTGTGAAGTTGGATGGGAATTAGACGAAGCAGCTGCAACAGCAGCAGCAACAACAAAATAAAACCGTCACGTGTTTAAAACCTGGCGAAATAAAATGCAACCAATAAAACTGGTTTGAGACACCTGACAACCTCTAATTCATTTTGTGTCATTTTCCCCACTACAAACTCAAAAAGTTATGGGCGATCATGACAAATCACTACTTTGGAAACTAAGACACAGTTGAATTAGGACCAGTAGGCCAGAATCTATGAACAATTTTAAAGTAATTATAAGGTAGGTGTCGATGAGAAAAATCCTACTCAGTGTTCATAGGATGATACGCATGCTTTAAGGAGTGAGGTGTACTCCTTTCTAGTAACATTAATAATGCTAAAAAACTAAACAAAACAACAAAAAGTGTTATATATTTTAGAAAATGCTTATATAAGAAAGCTCTGGAAATATACAAACCAGAATTTATTCTTTAACAGCATTTACTTCTGAAGAATGAGGTGAGAGGTCAGTGTGTGGGATGGTGTAACTTATATTCTGCTTTATATCACTTCCCACAAAATGGTTTAAGTGTGAAAAAATTTTGCTTTGTGTTTTATTCTTCAGTAAACGAGAAGAAAGATAAAGCGATACAAGCTCTGTACACCATACAATAAATTTAAAGTGCAATACTAACTTGGAAAAATGTTTGCAAATTATAACTGAAAATGGGTTCATATATTTAAAAAGTGTATTAAAAATGTGTCTTGAAATCAATAAAATAAACACTAAAACCTCCACTAAAAATGAGCAACAAGGAATGAATAATCACAGGATGAGAAAATAATTAACCAAAAACATTAAAAAAAACATATTAATGATCACTACTAATTGTTGTGGGAATTATATTCATAATATGTGGCAGTCAGCCACAGGGACCCAGGTGGGGGTGATACGAGAGGTCTCCAACAGCAAGACAAACTTGTCTGTCATTTTGTCCTACTGTGGTGACATGTAGACATGAGTTTTGAGGCTGAGCCTCTGGTGTTTAAAACTCAGCAAAATGCACCTGGTGCACAGGTAACAGCC